GCCTCAGTGGGTGGTGGGCGCCCCCCACGTGCCCGAAACACCCCTTTACTCTGGTGACCGCCGCCCTGTGCCCGCAATGGCTGTGGTCTTTGCTTTTCTCGGGTCAAAGTTTCCTGTTTATTTTGCTTGTCATTTTCTATGTACTTTGCGAAGGAGCCTTCATGATGTTTGCGCTTCTGGCAATAAACTTTTAGACTTTGGAGGCGTCTGTGTGTTGATTTAACGGCTGCATCCCAGGGGCGCCCTGTGTCGGCCCCTGCTCCCTGTAACAGGCGTCCGAGCCAGGCTCCGGCTGCCCGTGAGGAGAGACCGGCTGTGACTGGCTCGGCCCTGAGTTCCCGTAGGCTCGGGCTCCCGAGTGGTGGTGGCGAGCAGGCGGGGCTGTGTGGAGCGGGGCTGAGCCTGCAGCTAGGCCCAGTTGACCTCACTTTCCCCTGAGGAAGGCACTGCCCTAGGCTGCGATTCCTGGCTGCCTGCAGGACAGTGTGGTCCGCGAGAAGCTTCTGAGTTCAGGCGCTGTGTTGTGCGTCGCCAGGCTTCCTGAACGCCTGTGCCTGGGTATGGTGAGGGTTCCCCGGAACTTACCAGCCCCCCTCAGTGTCCTGGGCGGCAACAAAGCCACTAGGAAAACGTCTGCACGGCAGCGGCCGTGGGCACAGGAGTGGACAGGCGGCCGCTGATGGTTTGGACGGGACCCCACAAGCCACGGAGGCTTGGGGCGTGGGGGTCACAGATGGCAACAGCACCCCTTACCTCCGCTCCTTCCTGCCCCCTCCCCATCCGTCATGATCCCCAAACACCACATACTTCGCTGTGCACCCCGTTTTGTGCCAGAGGTCGGGACCCCACGGTAAACACGTCCCAAAAATACCTGGGTAGTTCGAAAGGAAGGGTAGTGGAAGCAGTGTGTGCCACGTGTCGGCGTGGGGGGCGGAAAGAAGATGTGGGCGTAGGGTGGAGGGCTGTGAGCATCTGGGGAGCTGCCCCACCCGGGGGCTGAGACCCTGGTCATGGTCATGGTTATGGCCCGATGCTGCAGACCCCGGGGGCCTCGGGCGTCACTGAGGGCTGGGACACGGTGTAGAGGACACCAGCCCTGCACTGGGGTCCTACCCATGGCCTCTCCAGGCCACCTCCCTGCAGCTCCATCACAGTCACACACCAGGGGCTGAAGTTGGGGCCGCATGGCGCAGGCCCGGCTGGACCTGGGTCGGGAACTCTCCAGTGCCCAGGGATGAGAAAGCTGAGCCAGCACCGCGAGGCAGCACACCCTGGCTGCCAGGCACAGCCGTCACTGAGCTCCGCCAGATGGGTTGCGGAGAGCGGGGCGCTCGGCCTACGTTGGGGTGCACAACCACAGAAAGGGGGTGCATTTCCATGACAGCAATCCCTTCCGGAATTGTCTACATCTGTAAGCACAGATGCAAGGTAAAAGTGCGTGTCACGCCTGCCACACACCTGCCTGCTGCACACCTTCCTGCCGCACACCTGCCTGGGTCACCACGGGATACGTGGGGAGGGCTGGGGGGCCCTGGGCCACTTGGGAACACCTGGCCACAGAAATTTTAAGTCCAGCCGTTTCAAGAGGTGGAAAGGAGCGCAGAATGGGGTCCGGCTGGACGGCAGTAAAAATAGAAATAAGGTAGGACAGATGGGTTCCGAGAGGTGAAGCCCTGGGGCAACTACGGGCCACCGCAGGTGTCGGGCTCAGCACGAACCCCAGACTGCGCAGGATGATGTCAGGAAGGGCTGCTGGCCCACTTTAGTGCAGTATTTACTGATGCACACGGAGCTGGGGTGCACGACAAAGGTGGGAGAGAACTCCCCAAGGAGAGTGGGGAGCACAGCAGTCTGTCCCCTGAAACCCACTGCTGTGGGGGCGGTGGGGAGACGGGGCCTGCTGTGTCCTGGGGTCACGCTGTAGGAGGGGTACACTGGGGGAGACAGCTCCGCGCCCATGGAGGCCAGAGCCGCGTCTGAAGGCCCCCCGAGGTGGGCTGGGGCAGCCTGAGAACCCTGGGGGTGCCGAGTCCGCCGAGTACGCGCGGC